TTTGTAGAACACTTTACAGTTAAAGAAACATTCTCATACATCCTTCATCTTCAACCTCAGAAATAAAGCAGACAGATGCTTCTCCCATTGTACACATGAGGCCCAGGGAAATTAGGGGGTTATGCTCAGGGGGAGGCCATGGAGGTGTAGCTAGGTCTGGAGCCCAGAACTCAGCTCTTGGCAGCTGTGCCATTGGCTTCCCTCAAAAGGAACAAAAGCCCGGCCTGTGTATCTCAGCAGTTGAGCATCAACCTAAGAACCAGGAGGTCATGGTTTGATTCCCGGTCAGGACACATGCCCAGGTTTCAGACTCAATCCCCAGTGTGGGGCGTGCAGGAGGCGGCCAATCAATGATTCTCTCTCATCTTGATGTTTCTATCTCTCTCTCTCCCTATCTCTTCTTCTTTGAAATATATATTTAAAAGGAACAAAGGCCATCCTGATCCTCAAGAAATATGTCTCATTGAGTAGGCATTTCCCACCAAAGGAGCCCTTCAGAACACCCAGGACCACTCAGATTGGTTACTGAAGAATGAGCCATTGGATCGCAGCTGAGCAGGCAGGGCAGGCAGAATGGCCCAATCTAACCAGACATCCTGCAGGAAAGCAACGCAGACTTGAGCAAGAGAGATTTTCAAGTAACAGGAGATATGAGCAAAGGCTAACAGAGGGAACTAGGAGATCATAAGCAGTAACCAACAAACAGCTGAGGATCTGAGCAGAGACTGGGCTGAGAAAAGTGGGATGGGGGACAGGGGGAGATGGGGAGGCTGGATGGGGCCTGTCTGGGGGTAGAAGCAGAAGAATCAGGGTTTGCCAGTGCAGAGTGTCTCCCTTAGTGTCACGGAGTTTGGCTGAGATTTGGAGGACAGACAGCTGACAGGGTGGGGACAAGAACCCACACTTCCTAACTGGCCCCACCCCACCTAGGAGGACTCAGCCAGCTCTTGAGCAAATGGGAATGCACAGCTGAACTTTGAACTAACTTTCAATATCCTGTTGTTGAGTGAAGGAAGGAAGGAATAATGGTCAGGCAAGTGATCAAGTCTGAAGACCTTTGTTGGAGGTGGGGGTGGGCACAAAACCAGCACCAGGGAGAGAACAGGCTTCTCACTGCAGAACTAAGTGACCAAAGCTGCTGCTTCTTGTCCCTTTCTCTCCCACAGGTCAGGAGGTAGGAAAGTTTCCCAGTCATCTTCCTTTCCCTCCCCGCTGCTATGTCCTCCAGACCTCTAGCCGCCTTCTCAGACCTTCCCAATTGAAGAGTGGGGAGCAGGCACAGCCATCAGCCCCATAGCACTCATCCACCCCCTGCCGGTGGCAGCCTTCTCTTCAGCTGCTCTCATATTTTCCATCTGTTTCTCTCCTTTCCTCTCACTCCCTTCCTGCCCCAGCAGCCCATCCTCTCTCCTGCTGCTTCCCCTCCTGTTCATGTTTCCTGCCTTCTTGGCTACCCCCACAGCCTTCCTGGATGGCTGGCTTGCTCCCAAACCCCAACCACACTACAGGGCCCCGATGACCTGACTAGGCCAGAGAAGGGAGGCTGCGGCTCTCCTCCCTGCTCCCCCAATCCCTCCATTGCTACCACCAGCAGACCCAGCTCCTAGGCCTAGAACTGGTCCTACCATAAAAATAGTCATGGAAGAAGAAGTGGGCAGGTAGGAAGGGGCTATTTCCAGGCATCACAGAGCCTGGATGGGGCAGGGACTGCTCACACATGGTCGCAGGAAAGCCCCTAGTCCTGGAGCCTGCCTCCCCCTCATCCCCCATGCAGCCACCCCCATGGCAACCCCCACTCCCCAGGCTTTACCAGGTCCTAGGAGGCAGAGGCAGCCTGGGAAGGTATCCCACCCCTAGAGTAGGAGCATAGCCCTACCCCTGCTCCCTCAGGGTCCCAGGCAAGGTATTATCTCTCTTCTCTTCCCTCGGCCTGTGGCAAGAGGCAGAGAAACTCCTCTGACCTTGGGGCCTCGGAGTGGTTCCAGCCAAGACTGAAGGTTAAACCACCCTCTTCCCAGGACTCTGCTGGCTGAGGCAGTAAAGCATTGATTTTACTTTCTATTCATTCTGGTTTCTTGAGTCTGGCACCTGTTCAGGGACAGGCACAGGTTCACACACATTCCCATTGTCCTGTACATACAACCATGCACATGCACCCATATGCATCTATCTGTGTACACAGCAGGCATGTATATGCACCACCCATGCACATGTACACAGACACAGCTATTTTTATGTAAAGTAGCACACACCCATGTACCCACACACTTGCATGCACTTCCTACATAGTGAACACAAATACCCTTGACTTGCCACTTCCTACCTTTGGTCTCCTCCCACCCTCCAGCTGCCTTTCTCCTCTTCCTCCTCCACCGCCTCCTCCTCCTCCTAATCTTCCTTTTCTCCTCCTCCTCCTCCATTCCTACAAATCCTACAATTCCCCTGACCCTGCCTCCTGTCTCCTCCTTGCCTCTGGCCCACAGTGAGCTCCTCTGTAGCCTCCCAGCCCCACCCTCACTTGGAAGTACAGTCAGCTTGCAGTTCCTAGCATGGCAAAACCTCTAGTCACTGCACAAGGGATCCTGGGTGATGGAAGGGAGAAGATGAGATTGAGATAATTCTGCTTCTTTGTTACAGATAAAATAAAATGAGGCCCAGGGGTGGGAGTCATATCTCAACTCAAGGAATGGAGACAAATGAATCTAGCTTCCTCCCTTTTGTCTGCTCAGTACTCTGGTTTCATCAAAGCAAAAGGCCCAGAGCTAGGAACTGTCACTGCTGTCTGCCTCCCAACAATCCAGCACCATCCCCTACTGGTGCCCCAGAATCTTGAGTCCTCAACAGGAGGGGGCAGAGAGAAGGGAGGAGTGTCGATTTGGGGTGAGATTGGCACTGACCTCTGACTCTAACATTGTTCATTTGGCTTTCCACAGGAGCACTGCCATGACGGTGGGCATGGCCATGACCCTGGCCCTGGGCACTGCCTGGAGGGGAGCCACCCCAAGGGTCCTGTGGGCCATCCCCTGGTCCACATCACTGAGCAAGCAGAAGAACAAAGGCACAACAATGGGAAGCCTGAGTGGGTTGCCCTGCTGACCTGACATGGAGCCTGAACCAGAGTCTTTTCTTCCTAAAAACAGCCTCCTAAAGGCTATGTTTTATTCCTTTTTTTTTTTTTTTAAGAGAGAGAGAGATACACGAGAGAGAGAAACATTGATCAGTTGCCTCCCGTACATGCCCCAACCAGGGATTGAACCTGGGTATGTGCCCTGACTGGGAATCAAACCCATGGCCCTTCGGTGCACGGGATGATGCTCCAACCAACTGAGCCACACAGGCCTGGGCACCATGTTTTACTCTTAAAAGAGCCTGTCTTCCTTCACATCCAACCTGTCACTCAGGGGTCCAGCAGTCTCTGAGTTCCCTAGTTGTGAGAATGGGGTACCCAGCCAGGCATTCTTAGAACCTTGGCTCAGTGGTCCCCATAGCATCTGGTGGTATAAGGCCACCTCTCCTTTCCTTTTCACTTCTGCTTCCTCCTATCAGAGGGCCTCAAATGTGGCCTATCACATACACCCTGACCTGGTGGGCCTTCCAACATTCCATCTTGCTTCACTTTATAGATCAGAAACCTCTAATGGATCCCTATTGTCCAGACGTATTTCTCACCAGTCCCTGAACATACATTGAACTTTCCAGCCTCCTTAACTTTGCACAGTTCCCCACCACCACCACCATCCCTGCCCTATCCCCAGGTCAGTAATTCCTTGCTTCCAAGCCACCTGAAGCTCCACCATCAATGGAGCTTTCCCTAAAGCCCATTAGGAAAAGAGAAGTCCTCTCTCTGCACACTGCCTCCTTCTCTGTAGCTTATATCAACTATCACATGGGCCTGACCACATCCTACCCAGTTAGCACCAATTTGTGGGCTAGCCTTTATCTCTCCAACCAAACTAAGGTACCCAGGGCAGGCCTGCCACTTCTACACATCTAGATTTCCCCACCCCCGCCCCTACTGACCTATGCCTTGCACAGAATGGCATTTGCACACAGTTTGGGGATATCTACACTCCAAATGCTTCTGGGTTCTAACTCTCCCCCCAGCCCCATTCTTCAACCAAGGCACCTCCCTGCAGACACATCCAGCCTGCTTGCTGTGAAGCCCTTTCTGCTTATGCAAACCCTACATCTGGGACCCTCTCCACTCGCCAACTCCCAGACTCCTTACATTGCCCCTATCTATTCTAGCGCTGCCACAGCCCTCTAGCCAGGCCTAGCCACAGCCCATCCATCACACCTCCCCGCCCTCACAGTCATTCCCAGACAGGAAAGGCAGCAAGTGAGTGGGTACTGGGTACTTCCCAGGCTCAAGTAGGGTGATTATCAGGAAAGGAACCAGGGATTCTCTTGAGTGTCTTTCTTCCCCCTCCCCATTGCACTCCACGCAATAACAGAATTGGGGCTCCGTGTCTGATGGGCACAGACTCAGGTCCAGGTCCAGATGAACGTACAGGGAGACCCAACTTGAGCAGATGCCTAGCCCCACTGGGGAGGAAAGGGGATCGCTGAACGGAGCCGAGAGAAATGTGGGCCTTCACCCCTCACTGCCCTGTGCCATGCTCCCTCTTTCCGACTGGTAAAGTCTGCATTTCAAGTTGCGAGGCTCTGTACACTGTGCCCGGGTCGCGCTTCCTGGTTCCTTGCGGGAAGACCGATGCCCCTCAGGAAAGGCCGATGTGCAGACTACAGCCAGAGAGCCGGACTCCTAACTGCAGCTCTCAGACTTGGCCTGGTTAAGGGGCCCACATCCCCAGCCCGGGGGTCTCCAGGGTTAGCGAGCCTCCAGCTCTGGGCAGCCGGCGCCGCTGGTAGCCTGTCCCCGCCCCCCGGTGCCGCGCCCATTGGTTGGGCTCCGGATCG